AGATATTATCCAAACCAAAAATCTAAGCTAAACATTTTACGTTTTCGACAAAAACTGCCAGAATAGAGTACTAAAGCCATGACGTCACGTTGCTTGGCAACGGAAAAATTTGAGTCTAAACAAAACGGATGGAGTAAATCATGGCGGCACTTTCGATCTCATCGCTGGCTTCCTTTTTCTCTGACGAGCAGAAGTCCTTAACAAGAGGCGAAAATCATTATCAATCTAATCACATAGAAAGTTTTTCCTTCAGTGATGGTGTCATTCGTGGAGAAGTTCGCGCTAGCATGAAGAAAAAAGTGTATTAAGTGACGGTAAGTGATCGATACTTTCAACCATGTTGATTCATGTCGATTCTATCAACCAAATGACTTTTATGCATTTTGTGGCTTGACTCAGTCAAGTTGATCGTTATTATATCTAATACAAATATTTAAAGAACGCTTAAATCCACGATTTGGAGGCCTAAACGCAACCGACGGTACCTCGCTCTGTTTTATGTTAAAAGTAATTTCGCTACGTTTCCAATCATGAATTAAGCTTTAATAAATGAAAATTTACAAACGCCTTACAGTTCCCCAAATAATACCAGTTTTCTCCGCGATTTTAGATCTATTTAGACGAAGAGAAGAACATTAAATCAACGGATTGTGAGTGTCCGCGAGGGACGTTTAAGTGTAGTCATGCTGCCGCTTTGTTTATACATGGCCTATACAATCTCAGTAGAACAGACATTGAATGCCAGTGGAAAAAGCGAAAAGCCACAAACTCGTTGCTGCCGTCAGTGCAAGAAATGTTTCCTCCTGCAACACCTGCATACCGTGCTCTTTTAAGAGACCCAACTCGTGAAGAACGTAGTGAACTTTTCCAAAGGCTGAAAAACTATGGTAAATTTACTGGACTTTACTGGCTCATGAGCCCTGAACCACAGACTCAGTCTAAGTCCTTGCCAGTTGCTACAGTAGAGGATGTTATTTTCCAAGAGGAATTTCTTCGGTTGCAAGGCCTCCATGAACAACGTCAGTATTTTCTGAATAAGGTCAGTGTTGAATGGAAAACTATTGAAGATGTAAGCTGCCTTACTGCTGGACAAAGGGACAATCCTTCTTGGCAAATGATCAGGAGGGGTCGACTGACAGCAAGTAACTTTGGTTCAGTTTTAAATGCCAAGCGTGTTACCCTGTCCTTAATAAAACGCCTTCTCGGTGAATACGATCTATCAAGGGTGAAAGCTGTCCAGTACGGGGTATGCAATGAATCTGAAGCAATTAACGCATTCAGGCTGAAGACTGGCCTGGATGTGGTGGAAACAGGTGTGTGGTTACACCATTCCGGAGTCCTCGGTGCCTCTCCTGATGGATTGGTTGGAGAAGATAGTGTTCTAGAGGCTAAGTGCCCCTATACTCACCGAGATTTGACTATTGAGGAAGCCATTAAGACCAGCAACTTTTACCTTGAAAAGAAGGATGGGGAAATTATGTTGAAACGTGACCATGTTTACTGGCACCAAGTCCAGGGCCACTTATCTCTCACCAAGAGAAAGAAGTGTTACTTTGTCGTATGGACGCTTAAAGATTTTGTAGTTCTTGAAATTCAGCGGGATGACTCTTGGGAGATTAAGATTGAAGAACTGAAAGAGTTTTATTTGAAACACCTTTTCCCAAAAATTATTGAGGGAGAACTCTAAAAGTTTCAATTCTTTTTGTTATTATTATTTTTCCATTATAGGGCACTTCTTGTATGACTGAAACAAAATTTGTATGTTGTGTACAGGGCTATACATGATATGGACTGTCCACTTTTCAAACTTTCAAAGTTGTTGTTGTTCGGAAAATTTTCAATTTCACAGTATTTTTATTCCTAACTAATAATGTATGAAATGTGACGAGTTAATTTAATTGTTTACAGTTGCTTAGTTTGTTACAAACATTAAATAAGTTTGTCTTTGAATACTTGTTATGACTGAGTCTGTTTCATTCAATCCTTTAACTCCTAAGAGTGACCTTTAAGTTTGTCGTAAATTATTGAAACACTACCCAATCAAACACATGACTGTTAACCCTCTAAGTCCAAATGTACAAGTACATGTACAAATCCTGCAGACTGAGCAGACTGATATTATACATTTTCTTAAAGTATTGGCAAGAGAATGTGCAGTAGTACATGTATGATGAATCATAAAAGTTTATTTTGATGTTATGAAACATGAATGCATATACAACATTAAGACGGAAATATTAAATCACTCGAATTGCTTCACTTCCTCTGCAGGCATCCTGAACTTAAACAAGTACCATAACAAAAGCCTACTGACAGAAGATTTTAAAGAATGTGATGATTAAAGAGCAATAAAAAGTACACCCAACTGTACAATATTGCTTTTGAGAACATCACTTATGTATCCACTTAACTGGCAATGTACATTAAATTTCCTAGTCAAAGTCTGTTCCCTCACACCCCTCTTTAATTAAAGGAAACTGCAAGTTGACAATCGCTGCACATAACTGAAACACTTTGTCAATGTGAGACCTTAAGTATGGAGGGACAAAACTCAGAATTTTAAAATCTTTGGGCCTTGCATTTGCCCTTTCAACATGTATGCGACATCTAGCTATTGACTTGGTTAACTTGGCCTCACTTTCAGTAAATTTACCATGTTCAAGAAATGGTGGAAAGTTCACAGACACACCCTTAGGAACAATGTCTTAAATGAGAAATCCTTTGTCTGCCAAGATCAGATCACCTGGAACAAAGTGCTGTAGAAAACCAGATTGCTGGACAATCTCTTTGTCGGAGATGGATCCAGGGTAGAGGTTGCTAATGTAGGTCAACACCCCATTAGGTGCAACCCCTGTCAAGACTTTGAATGAGTTCATCCCACGGTAACTTGAATAGGTCACATTTTGTTGACTCATAAGGCTTAGTGTGGCCACTTCAATGTCAGTACAATCAACAATAATTCTGCAGCTCGAGAACTCTGAAAAGGATCATGGCGAACACAAACAGTTCTTTTTCCTGGAAGGAATCACTCTCATCAGGTCATCAAACAGCAGTGTATGTAACTGATGTGTACAAATGTTATAACTATGTTAGAAATTGTCCCAACACTGCATGAAAATAGCTGTGCGAGGTGTAAATTGGTGTAGTTTTGCCGTAACTTCATAAGTGTTATGAATGTTTGGTCCTTAAAGGTTATGGACTCGACTTTCCATCCACAGTAATAAGAAATGGAGTCCTTGAATTTGGCTGTATAATCCACTACAATTGTCAAAATCTCCTTTGTTGGTAAACCAGTTTCCATTCTGATTACTTCAGAACTCAAGATTGAAACTGAGTAATGTTTTTTCTGATACTGCATGGTTTCCTGGTGATTGTTCAGCTCCTGCTTTGCTACGGTTCATTCTGCCTCTAAGATTATTTGCTCAGTTGGAGTTGAGGATCTTTCGTCCCATGTATCTGAAGACTCTGCAGATGTGGCATTAATGATGGCCATAGTATCTTTAACAGTCGGTAACTTATTAACCAGTGATTTGGGTTTCTTTTTCTTTTTTGGAGGAGGTTTTTGTGACGGGAATAGTTTATCAGCATTCTACTTGAAAATTTCCGGCCCTGCAGATTTCTTTCCACGTCTGAAATGAAAGCTGCACACTTTGGAATGCTTGCTTGGTTTTCTGTCAGCTCTCCTGATATAGAACAAACCCTTCAGATTAACGTTAAGAGGTTTAAACAGCGCCAAAATTTTAGCTTAAACTATCGGAATACTACTTGTGCCTTACATTTCTCGCCATCCATTTACAAAGCTCAAGTATTTCTTTATCACCGTTATCATTATAAACAAACTTGTACTCACTGAAACTGCACGATGGTGAAAAACCATACAAAAACAGCAAACATTCAGCCTACCTTAGCAAGCGAACCCATCGGTCATATTCTTCCTTGTTCTTCTCTGGATTTGGAAACAGAAAGAACTGGCAAGCATGCGATTCCGAATGATGGTTACATTCCGGAGCAAAGCAATGCATGTTCGTGACCTTTGTGGCCTTTCACTGTGGGGATCGGCCACCTACTCACACATAAATTTCTCCATAAAATCGCACGTACAGCTTCAAACGTTTGCATCGAGCACAACAATGGAGTCCGTAAACCATTGTTTTTTTCATTCTTTGGAATAGAAAGTCCTATATGTCGAGATTATTTAGTGAACAATACGAAACCGCAATTTAACAATGGCGTCCGTATTGCAGCCCGGTTTTGTTTAGACCCAGACAAATGGTTGTCATGACAGCGTGACGTCACACTTTAGTACTCTATAGAACCTTTATTGAAAACACAAAGCTACCGAAAATACGGTTGCTTTTGGTGGGTGCCCTGTGATTGGTCGAAACGTTCTACTCACACGTGAAAAAGCCGTTTCGCTTTTCTGATTGGTTGAATAAAGACGCGAACCATGTTTTCACGCAGGTTGACTCAAACACAATCACTCAGTATGTATGAAATAAAGATGTTTTTCTGCAATCCTGCCGATCGCGATCAGCTTCAGAAAAAGCTTGATATTTCAGCTGGGTCCACGTTTGGAAAGACTCGCATCAACACAATTCTCCCTAGTTAATGAAGCTTCGGCTTAAGTTGCAATCCACTCTTCGGAATTTAGATTTGTAGATCACTATCCGTGAGAATTTTAAAACATCTAACGAGCTGGACTCAGCACGAAAAAATATTGCAAGAAACTATCACATCTTCACGGACAAAAGAAAATCGCCTTTTAGTTATTCAAATCCAGAAGGCAATATGGATAAAATTAAACAACCTAAAACCCTTCAGTCTAGCCTCAATAGAACTTTACATAAGTAGGTTGAGGACTATTGTTGCTGACAGTGACTGATATTTCGACAACCTGTGCAGTACTCATCTTCAGAGTCAAGGTGAGCTGTATCATGTCAGTTGATGGTTTTATACTTTGAAATGATTACAGGCTTATTTCCTTTTTCCCGCCTAGCTCCCCTTTTCGCGTACCTTTCACTTTTGCGTCCTGACACTATCTTAGAGCCTGGAATAGGCTACGTGACAAACGATCCTTTTAACGCGGGAAATTAGCGTGGGGCGTGTGACCGGACTTTCCCGAGGTAAACTTATCATGGGAAACATCCATGGTTACGTCACAAAAAAAGAAAGAAAGAAAGAAAGAAACCGCCCATGGCATTTAACGTGGTAAATAGCTAGGGTTTTTCGATGCCCAAGACAAGAGAGTCAATCAGGTTTCTACATTTAACACCAACATGAACAGGAAAAAAAATGCGTTTTTTAAACGGGTTTCTTTCGCCCTGTTGAGAGAAAAATCAATGTTGACATGACAGATTTTACCTTCAGATGGAAGTAACAGGGCTATTCGAAGGCAAAATTTTGAACTGGTTTGTTGGGCCAGATGTAGGAACGATACTTCGCAAAAATTACTACCTTCAAACGCATGGCCATGGGCAAGAAATGGCAGTCGCCTTTTCTAATATATTCATGAATAAGGTAGACACGGAAATCCTTAGCCAAAGCGAACTAAAACCGCGCGTTTGAAAACGTTTTATAGAAGACATATTCTCGCTCTGGACTATAAACAGGTACAGAATAGAACAGTTCATTGAACAAGTGAACGATCACCATCCTACGATCAAATTTACGGCTGAAATTTGCGATAAGGAAACAACATTCCTGGACACCTACATGTACAAAGGCGCAAGATTCGAAAGATTCGCAAGATTCGACGCGATCCTTGATGTGCGTACTCATTTTAAACGAACTGAGACATTTCAATATACGCATTTTAAATCCTGTCACCCACAAAGAAATAAAAAGAGGCCCTAAGAATTCTCAGAACAAACTTTTCTAAAATAATATTTGAAGAGAAAATTACAAACTTCAAGTCGCATCTGCTACGGAGAGGTTACCCAGAGAATCTCACAACCCTTACAGAGGTTAATTTCAAGGGCAGGAAACTAGCCCTTCAACAGAAACAATAGAGAAATCTATCTTTCGGGGAATGGGAATGGGGAACAGGGAACGGGGAATCTTTAAAAGCGGGAATCTTTAAAATGGGGAATCTTTAAGACGGGGAATCTTTAAAAGCGGGAATCTTTAGAATGGGGAATCTGCTTTTGACACCGTGGACCACCCGATTTTGCTAAAACGCTTGACCACTGATTTTGGTATAGGCGGGAAGGCTTTAGAGTGGCTCCCGTCGTATTTGTCGGGACGCAGCCAGCGTGTTTTGTTTGAGGGGGCTACATCTGATAGCTTTGGTCTGCGTTTTGGTGTCCCACAAGGCAGCTGTTTCGGCCCGCTTCTGTTTGTGGTTTAAGCCTCCAGGCTCTTTGAGATAGTACAAGACCACCTGCCGAATGAGCACTGCTTCGCTGACGACACGCAACTTTACTTGTCGAAAGGTTCAATTTCACGCCACACATAATCTGGACATTTAGACATAGCTGCCATTTGGCTGTTTACAAACTAAAGATAGAAGGTAAATAAAGTATTTCCATTCTAAGACTTTCTTAGGTTTAACAGACACTGTTAAGCCTAAAATTAACATTTAGGATCTAAAAATAGTGAATGAACATGACACAGAATATGCTACAGTAAAAAAATCAAAACGAAATATATAAAATGATCATTACAGCCCAGTTTATATATGAGGGTACATAAACGCATTCGGTACAACTACTTTCGCATTATTCAGCTTTTTTAAAAGAGAGCTCATGATCACGATGAGCCGCAAGCAGTAAAATTTCTGTCCCGTAATTTAATCAGTTAAATCATCAAAGTTGACAGGTCTTTCTGATGATCAAAGCGACCGTTCGGTTTACCATTTACACCTTCAGTGCGAAGACTGTCACGGGAACATTAACACCTTCAGGATAATTGCTTGCCATAACAGTGGTAGGTCGCGCGCGTCTGGTCGGTTTCGAAGAACGTGATCGTGACTGTTGTTTTCATTCAGTGACTGTTGTTTTCATTCAGTGACTGTGCGCGTTGATATGCCAACGTTTAAAACAGACTGCAACATTAAATTTTTGTTATAAAAGCAAAGAAGCTGCCGAGTAGAAACTAAACCGTTCCAGACTTATTCCGTTTCATTCGTGTACTTTCATTTTGATGGGGTCTGTATGATGAATTTACTTCTGCCTTCTAATCCGGCCCGTAAACAACATAGAGATAAAACATTCATTTTGCCTTTGTGGAGTAAATTCATCTTAAAAAAGTTAAACTAGTGGACCACTTTCTCCGCGTACTTGTAAAAATAGGCATTTAATATGTCGCGCTACAGTGCGAAAATCTTCTTGTCGTGGATTAGATTTCAGTATACCTATTGTTAATCTTCATTTCGCGCCAGAATAAATTAGTTCGCGCGCAAAGGGCGTCTAAAAAAATCACAAGGTTTGTCCCACTTCGAGTCCACCTTCTGGAGATACGCCGGCATGGTAGCTGGAATACATTGCCAAGGCGAAGATCTGGCATTTTTTCCTCCTCGTCTTTTTTCCCCCGCAACGTTTGTTTATATTTGTAGTGAGAATGCCGTGCATATCGGTGGATTTTACTTCAGTCAAGCGGCTTCAGTTCCTGCGGCTTGCTACTCATCATAAAGAAGAGTGCCGGAATCGCTTTGTTCGCCTTTAACAGATTTGTTGTCGAATGCAAGGTAAAAGAACGGACTACTGTAAGGTAAGAATTGAAGTTTAAATTTGTTTCTCGGCGAAAAATAGTGCATACAACTCGTGAAACCCGTGAGTATTACCTCTGTTTAATATACCGGATGTCATGCGATGACCCCTCGCTTTTACGATGGATAAGACGGATACGAACAATAATTTCTTTCGCAACGTTTAGTATAATTTATTTAATATGGAGATCATCTGAGAACGATTTTTCGTTATATATGCTTCATTTCTTGGCTTATTCCAGCTACGTGCGAAAAATTAGATGACAATGTTTGTGTGCTATAATTATACTGATAATTTCCTTCACCTTGAAACTCAGGGAAAGCCAAACTTGTTTAACCCTAGCAAAAAACTCTTTTAATGGAGGAACTCAACCTGATAGTTGCACTAAAATCTGATAATTGTCACTGCATTTGCAGGCTCTCTGTAACCTCGTGGGTAGAACATACCTGAAGGTTACGTTAATAATCATCACTGCATTTGCTCTCTGTAACCTCGTGGGTAGAACATACCTGAAGGTTACGATAATAATAATCTTTGCATTTTCTCTTTGTAACCTCGTGGGTAGAATATACCTGACGGTTACATTTAATAATAATCACTGCATTTGCTCTCTGTAACCTCGTGGGTAGAACATACCTGAAGGTTACGTAAATAATAATCATTGCACTTTCTCTTTGTAACCTCGTGGGTAGAACATACCTGATGGTTACATTAATAATATCACTGCATTTGCTCTCCGTAACCTCGTGGGTAGAATATACCTGACGGTTACATTTAATAATAATCACTACATTTGCTCTCTGTAACCTCGTGGGTAGAACATACCTGAAGGTTACGTTAATAATAATCATTGCATTTCTCTTTGTAACCTCGTGGGTAGAATATACCCAATGGCTACATTAATAATAATCACTGCATTTGCCGTCCGTAAAGGGTAGAATATACCTGATGGTTACATTAATAATAATCATTGCATTTTCTCTTTGTAGCCTCGTGGGAAAAAAAAATTAATGCCTCTCTCCTGGAAATTTTGCCCTGTCCTTTCAGCATAGTGATCTTTGGGTAGCGAATTCACGTAAACAAGTAAAACGCTTTTTTTAACAACAGCATTTATATTACTTGGCTTTTTGAGGGAGGTTAAACATTAATGGAATAGAATATAAAAAAAGCTCATAAAGCGGAAAAAGTTATCTTTACAAAATGCGCTTTGACAATGTCAAGGAGTGAAATAAGCTGAGGTTTTGTAGTTAGCCCGAAGAAAACCTGTTCCTGCATGAAAAGCAGTTCTGACTCCCTTCTCTTAACTAGAAAAGATGCATATCCCCGTGAACCAGTTTTTTAACCAGGAGCGATTCCCGCTCACTTCTGATACTTTATTGACACGAGTTCCTGTTTCAATATATGTCTAATTCAAGCTTAGCCGCGTGATAGCTCTTCATTAGCGAAAAGGTCCAAGTGATATTTTGATTGACGTGTTGTTTTGGATCCTGAGGTTTTTTAACACCTTTTCTCTAGCTTAACTGGCGAAGATATTCTAGGAATTTGCCCTTCAATTCCAAATTCTTTGATGTGCCGCCAGATGCCGTGCAAAAATATCACCCCTTGCGGCTCCTCGTGGCATGTATGGAACTTGAGTCTATATATGCAAATCATTTATGTCATATGAAACTTGTGACAAAGCCCGAAAGAGATAGCGCAAAGCACAGATATAAGCTCATTGAATGCATGCAAGTTTAATATCAGTATTCGATCGAGGTACCCGGTAAAATGATAAAAAACGATAGAAGGTTTACAATCTATATTACATCTACAGTTAATTAAGAATTTGTTCATGCTTAGCGTGCGTATATCGAGTTATGGATGCACGCGGGAAGTTTGGAGAGCACGAAAGATGCGTAAGAGTTGCACGAGGCGATAGCCGAGTGCAACTCTAGCTTCTTGAGTGCTCTCCAAACTTCCCAAGTGCATCCATAACTCGATATACGCACAGCTAAAAGCATGAGCAAATTTTTTTATAACATAGCTGACAAAAATGCTTGCTTTTTGATTAACTACAAAATTCTCGTAACGCGCTACACAATAACAAACGCTTCTATTGGCTGATTACGAACACACCACAATCATCTAGTTTGAATGAAAATATTCTTTCTATAGCTTTTCTGTAAAACTGAGAAAGAAAATTTGCTTCTTTATTCGTTAACGATCAATGGAAACTAAGCAGAAACAAAGGTAAAAGAGCCTTAAAGTTCACCTAAAGTTAAGATACTAACATGTTCGTAAGAAGTCGTGGAGTATGGTTTGGATTTGCTGAAAAGATGTTTACGTTTTGCTCGGCGAAATCCAGAAAACATGTTTTTAGTGAAGACGACTGTCATCCTTCTTTAAACTCATATTCATTTACAAACATTGGTCATTACGGCTTCTTGAGAAGACCTGGCAGCAGTTGTTTTTGTGAGTAATAAATTTATGTCTTCTTGTGTAATTTGTGTTGTTATTGCGAGAGAAATCTTCCTGCCTCAGTCGGATTGTCCAGAGATAACAAAAGTGCATAACAAATTTAAAAACAACAATAAAAACGGAAATTTAACCTCTTAATGTTGTTGATGACCAGTTGGTATCTGTTCTGTTCCCAGTGAATGTTTTTCGGCCAAAATGTGCTGCAGCTGGTCTTCCGACAAATTTGCGAAACGCGCAACAAGTGAGTTTGTTTTAATTCGGCTCTATTTTTGCTGCTTGTTGGATCAGGACCTAAAAGGTCAATGCCGATAGAAAAATTGGGCAGTTCTTCGCTAATTTCTTCCATATTTTAAAGAGAAGGAAAACTGCACTGCAGCTTAAAAGACGACAACTCTGCAGCCAGGTAAAAAAAAAATGCTTACGTCATCTTATTTACGCACGGGCGTGCGTAAATAAAGATTTTGTTCATAGCGGCTCAATAGGACTTATATAGGGCAAGCACGCGCGCTATGTTATAAAAAAATCTTGAGGACATGTACAGGTAAGCAAACGATTGAAGGAATACCTGTCTAAGAGTCCCTGTCGACTATTTTTCACTACAGTACAGTAGTTTGTTTACAGCGCCAGCCTTGGATCTTTAGCTCGACATACTACTTTATGTGCGCTGGAAGTAATCTTTAATTCCTTCGAGATTGCTCTTCTCCAAAAATTTTAGTTAAATTTTTGAGACGGAGAAGCTCCAGTTGAATGAAATAGTATTTTTTTTTTCCTTATGGTCCATGAAATGTCCTGTTTCACTTTCTGTTTTTGCTCTCTTCCGTGGGTTGTTGTTCTCTGACTGTCAGCCATTGTGGATATCCCAGATTACTCCGCGTTGAGCCGGAAGCAATAGTGAAACTGACCAGGGAGGGGATGGGAAAATTGTAAATAATCCCCAAAGCGATTAAATCAAGGTCGAAACCAACCAATTTAACTTCTAAAAACGCGTGGTAAACCCTACTTTTTTTTATCTTACCAAATGAAAGTAATAAGCCTATTCAGCAAACGATCAAGTTTTGGTTCGGGGAAAATGTCGTTTACACTATTTTTAAGACAAACGCGTGGAGAGGGGTAACTGCTGATAACTTCCCAGTTGTGCTGATATTTCAAAAAGAGACGTATAAAGAGCAGTTGTTATGTTATCACTTGTTGCTTGTTTTAAAACGTTAGTGAAATTATCATTGCATAATGCATTTTGTGCCAGTTTACGTGTACACTCCGAAATTTTGGGAAAAAATAACTTTTTATCATTTTTCCAAAAAAAAGCCTATTCAGCGTTTTTCTCCTTATTGAAGCGCAGTTATCTCTGAAAAATGCGTGGTTACCCCCAGTTTTCGTTTTGGATTTCAATAGCCGCTGATATGATCTACTTGTCTCACATAGTCATTATGTCGGGAAAAAAATACTTCCCATTAGTTGGCACCGTCCTTAAGATATAGTTAACTCGAGGCAAACCGCTAACTAGAGTTAGATTTCATTTTCCTTGAGTTCAAATTTGTGTTATTTGCCTCGAACGTCTTGTAACCCAAAATATTAACGTCGATATTCATTTTATGCCGTTATTTCAGCAACCAACGATAGGGCCCGCCGGGACTTTTGTTAGTCATCGAAGGTAGTCAGCACCTGTCGATCTCTTACTATTTAGATTTAGTTCATTAAGCAAAGAAAGGATATTTATATTAACCTAGACGGGAACACACTCAAAGGTACATAGTTTAGAGTCGTGTTTTGTTTTACAGTTGCGTTCCCCTTGTTCTTGCTCGGATTGACCGTTAGCACAATGTGTGTAAATGTGGTTTTCGATAGTAGTGGTTAAAATTTTGAAACTGACTTTATCTTTGGGACAATTTAATGTACAAAAAGGAAAACATATATTGCTTTGTTACTGTTACTGTTTCTGTTATTAAAGGTCGCCCGAAAGATGTCTTTCGGTACGTCATCATTTTATTATTTTTTTTTACTTGTCATAGATGATATTTGAAATAATATTTATGTCGTCGTTGTTTCAAATTTGTAATTCACTTTCCTTCATGTTGTCGTGGTTTGAAAAAAAATCCTTTATAAAATGGGTTTTCTCGAATTCAATAACATGTGCTAAATTGGAATCTTAAAGATTCCTCGTTTTAAAGATTCCTGCTTTTAAAGATTCACCATTTTCAAGATTCCCGCTTTTAAAGATTCCCCGTTTCAAAGATTCCCGCTTTTAAAGATTCCCTATTTTAAAGAGTCCCGCTTTTAAAGGTTCCCCATTTTAAAGATTCCCCGTTCCCCGTCCCCCATTCCCATTCCCCGATTCACCGTTCCTTGTTTTAAAGATAGCCGGAACCTACGAATCTTGCCATTTGTTACACAAAACCAACTATCAGTGCTTAACCTAAAGCAAATTCTCATGAAAAACTGGCATTTAATAGAACAACAACCATTACTGAGTGAAATCTACAAAAATCCGCCCCTCATATCGCACAAAAAAGGGCGGTCGCTCAAAGACATACTCGTGAGAGCCAAACTATAAAAAAGGCTAAACACGCACTAGGGAGTCGTGTAGGCCTGTCAACCCCATTTTACAAAAATATGCTCTATTCCTGGCATGTAATCGAAAAGTGGGATGCAGCTGAACTGTAAAAGACCCACATTTCAGCTTTGCTCACCATCGACTCCAGTAGCTCATGATCAATGGTTAGAGCATCCGACTGGATCACGATGGGTTCGAATTCCACCTAGGGCTCGAATTTTTCTTCGAGTTTCCATTTGATGCAAAAAACGTATCATGGTCTAAGGTCGGGATTTAAAAAAATGCTATGTGCCTTCGCTAAATTATCAGGGTTAACATATCAGTTTGAATCTCAGCTAAACTACACATAAATTTTCAACATAAGATGAAATACTGCCATGACTGAAGGCAATTATTACGGCAAAAGGGCGAGTGAAGCCTTAAAAGCGTCTAAATTGCCAGGGGAATTAATTCATGTGTAACCGCACAACGGACCGGCGATGAACAAAACCCACGTTAAAATTTACCACGACTTTGTTAACATGGGAAATACCTTTTACCATGGTGAGTAGTCTACTATGTTGAAACCTAACCGAATTATGTCGAGTTAGGTCGAGGTAAATCATTGATATGCATAAGGGTCGAGTCAATGACGTCATCTATTGTTATGACTTAGCGAAAAAATGCCTTCCTGAATACTAATTAAGTGCTAATTAGTGTCTAGCTAACTAGGTAAAAATGCGTTCTTCCTTACTAATTAAGTGCCTTCCTCCATATATAATTAATTGGATAATCGTTTCTTTTCATATCGAAGAACACAATAGGCACAACTGGCTTGCCTAGACTTGCCCATTAAGTTACTTGAGCCCTGTTTACCGAAACGTCTAATAAAGGGAAAATAGGAGCGATCACCTAGCATCGCGAGAAACAGCTTATGTCTTCTTATTTAGCGCTAACAACCCAGATATATCAACAAAACATACACAAAGTGGAGCTGAAAACCCTTTATTTTTTAAAAAAATGTTTAATTTATTTGTAAATTCGTTTGCTGACTATTACAAAAGCGTTTTTTCTCTTTTTATTTCAAGGAAATGTCTATTAAAGTCTTAGCATTCACGCAGTCAGTTAATTATGCGAGTTCGCAAACCCACCGTAATCGCATACAAATTAGTTCTACACGAAAAACCTTAAGAGAGAACCTTGACGTGTAAGTATTAAAGCAATTTAAAATAACTTAACAAGGATCAATTAAAACACGCGACTAATAAACGCTAGCAATAAAATCAGACACGAGATACCGTTTTAAAAATAAAAAAACAATGACAAAAAGAATCAAATACACAGCGATTTGTAAGGGAATGATAAATTAATCCTTATCTTCTTCGCCCATGGAGTACTTGTAAGGTTTGAATTTCTCATGCCGAGCGACGTTCCTTCAGCTGTTTGCCATGAGCTTTATAATCATCCAACTAATTTACAAATTGACTCCGACGCCTTTTGCGCATCTGGCCTTGTTGTGATGGGGTTTCTATTGCGGGAGGAGGGGACAGAAAAGCAGGATTTAGGGGTGGATGGTGGAGGGGTGAAGCTTTCTTTGTCTGGTATTTGACGTCGAAGGGGTTGAGGGAGTGAAGAATGCTGTCGTTGCTGTCGAAGAATCTTGTGTCCTTGATGTTAAGACAGTACTGATTATTTCTTCCGGTCGTGTTCTTGTATTAAATTGTTCTTTAAAAATCAAGTATTCAAGAATCCACGAGACAAATTGTAAATCTTGACTCTGGCGAAGCAAATGCATCCCGGGCAAACAGATTTCTTTTTAAATCAGTAAGAAGAGGCTGTAAAAAGACCTTTTGGTTATCTTCTGATTGATCTGAAAACTACAACCTAAGATAATTGTTGACAATTGCCGACTGCGAACAAACGTCCTGCCCAGTGAAGAAGGCTTTAACCAAGCAGGGTTTCAAGAAAATATTCCTCATGAGCTTCTGAAATATCTGAAGCTGCAAACTCTTTCGCTCGTCCCGCTTCTTCCAGCTATGCAAAAAATACAGGACAACATGGATGACGTGCTTTCTCGAAACGATCTTCGGGACGATAAGATAGCTAAGTGACACTTTCAGTTGCAAAACAGATATGCGGCTACCTTTCCCCTGATGGAATAGATTCTGCACGAACGATATAAATCACGCCTAGATTGCGATGATGAGAACCACGAGTAAAGAGGTTCACGATTCGTTTGTCTTTACTGGCGTCAATCATCTGATCATCAAACACGATCAAATTCCATTTGTTCACATCAAAATAGGAATCCTGCTCCAAAGCCGTAAGAATTCCCTTGAATTCAATGTGTGGCATGGCGAGTATCATTTTTTTCCCACAGCTTTATTTTTTTTCTGTATACCCGGGCTGCCATTGTGAATAACACCAAACGACCCCGTTCGATTTGTAAGTCATTCAGCAAGGGACAAAATGGCCCAGATTTCAATGTATCCCAATCAATGACACCTGTCTCTTAGGGAAGTAGGGAATGGCATTGACGAGTATTTTTGCACGGGTTACTATTTTTATTAAGCTACAGATTGACAGATGTACAAAATACTGTACGATCTACTAAAACACGTTTTTCTGCATATATAGAAAATACCCTAGCCTAGTCTCTGTTTCCTAGATCGTTTTCTAGCCGCAGACTGAGGTAAAAGCATGAACCCGTTGAGAATATCAGCAATGCACTACCTTGCTGTGGTCTTCGCCTTCTCCTTTGTATTCATGTAATTCCATCGAGGTTGATGGTTTACTATACTGTAGCCGGTATTTCATAACCCAGCGGTCATAGTTATCTCTCTCTTGTGTTGCCACACCAGTAACTACCACCGCCAGGAACCTACTTGGAGTACCATCAGTTTATTTAGTCGCCTATGGCCAAAGGTCTTTCTCTGTTGCTGCACCTCATTGGTGGAACTCACTTCCACAGTATATTCGCAGAAGTGCTTCATTATTAGAGTTTAAAACCAACATTAAGACTATTACCTTTTTAAACTTAGACTACAATAGGTTTAGCTAATATAATTTAATTATAGAGTATCAAAGCATACATCTTTCAGATGTTATCGTTTTAAGTTTTAGGGATTTAGTTTTTAATTGCAGCTTAGAATTTTTAGAATTTTTAATTAGGATTTTTATTGTAATATATAATTCGTCTGGTGTTCTTTTAATCATCACCGATGCAAGTTTTTAAAGCATTTTTTTTTCTTTTTTATGAATACTGTAAAGCGCTATTGAGCATACGGAAATAGCGCTATATAAACAATTAAAAGTTTATTATTATTATTATTATCATTATTATTATTAGAGGTTATAGATATCCATTCAAATCACGTGAGGTCCCAGAAGACTTCACTTTCGCTGTAGCTGGTCTACATCTGCACTCATGATTTTAGGCCTAGATTTTTGATAGTTTTTTTTCCCTTAGTAATGCTTAATTTTCCTTTTCCCACTTTTAAATTATTCACAATTGTAAATAGTTTTCTATCGTGGACATATATTTAGTTTTTAATTTGTAAACAATACGATATAGTTTAAGATTGTAAATGTTAATTATTGTTCTGATACTTATTATTTAAATAAAGATTGGTTTTCCTTATCATTACCATTATTATTATTATTATTATTATTATTATCATTATTATTGTTATTATTATCACCTGCGCAGGGCGGGATTGGGATTCGAGATCTTAAGCGCGAAAGTTTGGAACAGTTGCCTCGCTTGATATAACAGCACCACACGTCAATTCTATTGTTACTCAAAGCTCCACCATTCCAGCACGAGAGCTGATGGAGAAAAGGAAGTGTGAAATCAGTTCTAAAAGGAGAGCCACTGCAAAGTCCCAGATTGACAGGATTGACGAATCGTTATCTTCGGATCTACTCCAAGCGGTGCAGCAGACAAGGGACAAGGGAGCCAGCTCGTGGCTGAACGCTATTCCAATCGAAGAACACGGACTGGCTTTGAACAAGCAGGAGTTTAGGGACTCCCTTTGCCTTCGCTACAGCCTCCCTCTGCCTAATCTCCCTAGTTACTGTGCTTGTGTAGAAATGTTTACTGTCAACCACGCGTTGTCATGTAAGAAGGGAGGTTTTGTAGCGTAGAGACATGATACAATCCGAGATCTTCTGACATCACACATCAGTAAAGTGTGCAGACATGTGGAGACAGAGCCACTCCTGCAACCACTCGACAATGAAGTATCAACCTTCGTACTCAAATGTGCTCCATCAACGGATCGCTCTCTCAAAGCTGTTTATTAAGTTGTGGTGTTCCCCAGGGCACGATTTTAAGTCCATTATTATTTCTGTTATACATCAACGATCTTCCAAACTGTCTTTCACATTGTGAGCCGAGGATGTACGCTGATGACACCCACCTTACGTACGCAGGTGATAATGCAGACAATATTCAGTTGCATCTAAATCAAGATTTAGAAAATGTTCACAACTGGCTGAGAGCAAACAAACTTACTCTAAATATGACTAAAACCGAATTTATGCTTATCGGATCTAGGCAGAGGCTAAGTACTCTCACAGAGTCCCCGAGATTTGCAATTAATGATTTTGAAGTTAGCCAGGTCACTACTGCAAAATCACTTGGAGTGGCCATCGATGACAGACTTGATTGGAGTGGCCATATCGAGAAAGTAATAAAGAAAGTTGCTTCTGGTATTGGGGCCATAAAACGAATAAGGCACCTTGTCCCTCAGGCGACCTTACAACTAATATATCAAGCTTTAATACAGCCACACTTTGATTATTGCAACATTGTTTGGGAAAACTGTGGGATAACCTTACGGAATAAGGTTCAAAAGCTACAAAACAGAGCAGCCCGTGTTTTGACCTACTCAAGCTATGATGTAGATGCTGGTCACCTTTTCAAACTTCTAGGGTGGAAAAACCTAGCTTGCCAGCAACAATTTCAAAGAGCTACGATGGTTTACAGGTCTCTGCACGGGTTGGCTCCAAACTATCTTAGTTCTAAATTTGAAAGGCGAGAAGTCGCATATAACCTAAGGGACTCTGAAAATAAACTCAATGTTCCATTACCGCGCACAAACTATTACAAAAACAGCTTCAGCTATAGTGGCGCCATTCTCTGTAACAGTCTTCCTTGTAACTTAAGGGAAGCAGAGTCCCTTGGGCAATTTAAACGATTACTCAAAGAACTGTAAGGCACGGCATTCGTGGAAAGCAGCTTTTTTATTTAAATATTTTTATTATATTAGTATTAGGCATTTTTAAAGCTGACGAATTTCGTACCGTGGATAAATAAAAATATCTATCTATCTATCTATCTATCTATCTATCTATCTATCTATCTATCTATCTATCTATCTATCTATCTATCTATCTATCTACTGTTACAAGTCGAGAAGCAAGGTTGGATATGAAGGCAGGAGGTTTTTGGACACCAGGAGTAACGGCATTCTTTGACGTACGTGTAACGCATGTTAACTCCCGGTCCAACCAGGGCAAGTGCACAGCTACGATCTTCAAAGAGCAAGAAAACGAGAAGAAGAGGAAATACAACCAGAGATTGGGATGGATGTAGAGATGGGAACCTTTACACCACTGGTGTTTGGTACAAACGGGGGCATGGGACTCGACTGTCACAACTTTTTAAGAACTCTCGCAATTAAGCTTTCGACTAAGAACGATGAACCCTACGCCAGCGTTATTTCCTGGCTTCGAATACAGCTCTCATTTGCTATATTAAGAACTGTACACAGATGCGTCAGAAGTTCTAGATATCCATTCAAATCACGTGAGGTCTCAGAAGACTTTACTTTCGCTTTAGCTGGTCTACATCTGCATTCATAATTTTAGGCCTAGATTTTTGATAGTTTTTTCTTAGTAATGCTTGATTTTCCTTTTCCCACTCTTAAATTATTAACAATTGTAAATAGTTTTCTATCGTGGACATATATTTAGTTTTTAATTAGTATCTTAGAATTCTGAATTGTGAAGGGGTTTTGCCGGAAATTTGTATTTATATAATATTGATGTGGACGTTTTATTTTTATGAATATTTTACCGAAGTTTTGTGTGTAGTTTTTATAAGGTTTTTATAAGATTTTAATAAAGAATTTATTGTGTTTATTATTATTATTATTATTATTATTATTATTATTATTATACATATTACATCTTTTGTTGTAGAAATAGGAACTGGGATAGCCCAGACTTAATGCAATTTTGTGTTTTTTGGGGGCTTTTGTTTTGTTTTGTTTTTGTTTTTGTTTTTTTTGTTTTTTCTTTGTTTGCTTGTTTTTTGTTTGTTTTTTTTTCTTTTTAATAATCCAATCTCAAGTAGCATTTGTAAATTGCCTATACGTAGCGAGATTTACAATTGTACATTCAAAAACACAAATAAAGTTTCCATTATTATTATTATTATAAAATTGTTATTATTATTAATATTAAGATACATTACCAAAACAGCCATATAGCTCAACTCTCATTGATGCTAGTACGTGCCAAACGGTCGGTTGAAAGCGAATGTAACGGGCCGTAATAACTTTGGTCAGGTTATGACGAACAACAGTCTCACGGTCACTGTTCCCATCAAATATCTGCAAATTAAGGATAGACTGGCTTAAGACAAGGGTTTTATAACACCAAAATATACTTGCAGTCATACCTCGGAGCTTTAAACAACTATGACGGTGACAGCAACGAGAAGTTCAAACAACGGAATGGGGTCAATTTTGCACGTGAACCACACTATTTGGAAAAGTTCGTTGCCTTTACTGTACCAGTTCGAAGTGACATACCACAGCGAATTTTTCTTTCTCGTATTAAAAAATGGGGAAGCCACCAAGAATATAGCTGAGAAATTCAACATCCGACATTGAAAGCGAGTTGGGATCATGGTGACATAGTTTGAAAAACGAAAACCTTTCAAGTTTTTACTGCTGTCGCTGACACGTATTTCCCCTTCGCAAACAGTCGTTGCCATTTTTAACGGTCGATGCAACCCATTGGTAACCAAGCCTTTAGTCATGATATATGTAATATATTCCCTGGATTACGTTACACGAAGGCGAATAATACGTTTTTGAATAGTGTTAGAAAAAACGACGCTGAAAACCAGGTTGAATTTACGTTAAAAGTTTTGGAAAGGGCTAGGGTCACCTGTTATTGATGTATCAGTTATTTAAGAAATTTTGGTATTTATGTACTTAAATTTTTCGGAATGTTGACGGATCGGTGTCGTAGTGTAGTAGCTAGGGAGAGAGATTAGCTAATAGGATACGAAAGGTCCGGGTTCTCTCTGGGTTGCGATTCTCTTTCTTTTTAATAGAAACGCTCTCAATGGCAGGTCAACAATTTTCTAAGTGTCTTAAAAATGGCAGCGACAGTTTATGAAAGGGAAATTTGCGTCGTCAACGTCGTTGCTTAAGCTCCCTTAACTGAGTATTCGGCGCTCTTTCTACGGTTTGTGTGAGGTCACTACTAGCACCATAATGAACCACCATCGGCGATTAGTACATTGGCACTCTTTTATAGTAAAAGGCCAACCACAGCAGCATGGATCAGCAATATGATCGGACAACGATTTATAATTAGCAGTATAGTCAGTCAACATACTGTCCTTAGTGTCACAACGACTAAATAACTATTGAGGAAAACAATGAGCAATGTCTTTAAACGAACCTTTTCCTGTCTATATAATTTAAAAAGATTTGAATGAGACTGAGTATCTGGAGTATGATAAGAAGAATTATGCAGAACGAGGAGGGCGTTCAATCCATCAGGGAATTCGATATGTAAATACATCCACCAGGGACTAAAATAATGCCTCTTGAGTTTCTGGCCCGGGGCAATAGATCCCCAATAATATTAAACATAAACTGCAGTTGAAACTTAGCAAGGGTCGTTCTTGGCGTGTTGCTGAGCAAGAAAAAAAGAAATGTAATATGTAAGCTTTGTCTGAACCAATTAAATATGACTGATTAATCAAGTTATCTTCAGTACTGTTACTCACAATATATATTAATGACTACAAGAGAAATGAAGAGTGAAAAAGTTATCATGGAAAGTGAAATTTAATAATAGTAGCCTTTTGGGAATGGTGCTTCAAAAAAATGGAAATAAAAGTAGTAGTTAGTAATATAATAGTTAGTTATCGTTTTTAGGCATCAAAGAACTGCAAAGTTATATATTAATTACTTTTCCCCTAACAATATATACTAGCTAGTTTAACAGTTGCTGTAGTAATAACTTGAGCCTCAATTAATGAATGTAAAGCTGCAGTAAAACGGGCAGCAAAAAAGGAAAACTTGTTTTGCAACACTGCTGAAAAACGAATTGAATAACGATGTTGCGGGTTTTACTACCCTCGTTCGAACCTGTCTTGAGACAAATAAGGTTGCAAGGTTTTTTTCGTGGGTGGTAAAACGCGCAACGTCGCTATTCAACTCATTTTCAGCAATATTGTATAACAAGTTTTTTTCTTGCCAGTTCTACCATACATTAATTTTTACCTTAACATTCTGTCCTTCTTCCACATAGAATTGAAAGTAAGATGTCTCTTCGTTATCCAGGCTGTGCAGCAGCTTGTATTCTGAGACCCACCAGTCCCTCTTGTTACCTCCTTGTGTCGCTACACCAGTTACTCTGGTAAACTGACTGCCTAAATCAACCTGGAGCCATGGACTGGTATCTTTTCTACCACCTACCCAAGAATCTTTTCCGGCTCCACCTTTTTTGGAGTGCAGTCTACCCTGATAGGCGCGATAAGTGATAATTCTTTCTGAAGAGGAAGTGATCCTTTCATCAGAGATGTTGCCATTTTCCATGCCCAAAGGGTATGTATCCTGTCGACATTCCTGTTCATGCATCTGGTCTTGATTAAATTACAAAAGAGACAAAAGACTTAATGCAAACCTACATCAAATTCAACTTTTGTAAATTTGAGTTCGGTGGTAGGAAAAGTGGAATTTCCGATTGGTAAAAAGTTGTTCCATTTGGTCGTAAACCCCGGTACGTGGCGGTGCCCGACCGTGGACCTGGAACTGGTACAAACTACGAGAAACGTAAATGGAACACGAGATTCCGTTCGGAAATTCCAACCGGGAAAACGGGACCACCTTTTTAGATTTTCCACTTTTTCTGGGAATTTTCCAGTGGGACGAACCGACGAAACGTGTTCCATTTACCGCCGAACCGGAAATTCCGGAAATTTTGAGTAAATGGAAAGCGCCCTACGCTTCGGAGTGCCGTGCTGTACCCTCAGGAGTTCCCCAGGGTGCAAATTTCGGCCCATGCCTATTTCTAGTAATGATAAATGACCTGGATGCGGTACGTAGACTTGATATCTAGAAGTATGTTGACAATAATACCCTCGCTCTCAGTGTGGACAAGAACGGAGACAGCTCTTAAGTTACATTATGAGTTGATGATTTTGTTATCAAGTCTCAAGATGACGGTTTTTTCATTTGAATGAAACTAAGTGAAAGGAAATAACAAAAATATTCTCCAAGACAAAGGATACATTAGGGCCTATTAATCAATTATACCAACATTGAGGTTGTTCCTTAGCAGTATAGTACGGATCGGATTATCCGGTTTTTTTTGCACAAGAATATTTTTTAAAAATATAATCGCGCGGGACCGGATTACATAAACGTCGATAGTGTCACAACCTTTTGTCGTAATCTCGTAAATAAATACGGCGAATTCTTATTATCTTCCCGTTTTGGTATTTCTAATACAATAGACGTACGTAACCTCGACAGTTCTTAGCCTGTCTTTAATTTTTGTATTATTTATTTATTTTGGATCGATGGTCTCATAATTTATTTTGATTTATGCACGTCATGTGCTTATTTCGGGGTATGATAGTGTCCTAGTGTTGGTCGTTTCCTTTCAAGAGACAATTTAGTTGGCTGCCGATTTTCATTTATTTAAACGAAAAGTAAAAATACCTTGTATAAGTAGAACTGAAAATTATTTATGTCAATCCTCATAGGTAAATACAAGAAAGTAGCAGTCTTCTGCTTCTCGATGGAATGACTAAATCTTGACACTTCCTGACGTCTCAATTCTTTGCATGTGACCTATTTAACTGGTTTTCGCGCGTCTTTTGTTTTGCCGCTAAATATTCATAACGCTTAAGTACTCTTAACAAAGAAGGATGATGCTACACGATATTCAAACCGAAAATGCCTAGAATATGGCCACAGGGCTGCCTACGTTCTCCGAGTTTGACGTAAATGATACAAGCAGACAGGCTGAAAGATTAAATAAATTGCTTTCGAGATTCCAAAATCTACTCGTCACGATGATCTCTATAGTCAAGAAATGGCAACGGGCTCTGTTACTACATTATGCCAGCGAAGCTATGTACGAACTTTTTTTGCACGGTATCAAATACAACTGTTTTGTCGTGATTCGTCGCGCCTGTCATCTCCTAACTTTGATCCAGAGACGGATACAGAGATTTCGGTTAATGCAAATCCAATTGGCTTTGTCAGCGATCGCAAGTGTACCAGAAAATTAAGAAAAGACTTGTCATAACCTTACGCGAGTCGCTCTCTTACAGCAACGTGCGGCGGTACGACCAAACGGAGCTCAGGAAAGCCCTTGCCGTAATTACTTACTTTAGAACTGTTAATTACTTACTTTAGAACTGTTTTTACTTTGGCGGAGCTCAAAGTAAAGGACTCGTTCAAGTTCAAGTTTTTCGGCTTGTTTCGGCTATATATTCCACGAAGTGAAACCGGAATTACTTAGTCCTTTCAGCTACAAGAAATATTTGAATTTACTCGATGGATAAATAATTATTTGTTTTGGCTTACCCGGCGGGGTTTGAAAAGACTCACCCGCGACCCGTCAGATCAGACGCTAAGTTGACGGATTAGCCGATTGTGCCAACGAGACCTGATGTGGAAATTAGGCTATAATATCGTGCACCGCGGGGTTTCGTGCGAGAAGTGAAAGAAAAGGGAAAATAATCGCTTGGTTTCCTTGAAAATAATTGAAACGATAAAATTATCTAAAACGGGCAAGTGATGAAAATTGCTTGGTTTCCCACTATCTTGACTTCTGTTTTTATTAATTAAACGATGGTCACATTTGCTACACTCGTTGGTTGGTCTTCTGAAAGTATCAAGGAAAGGCTTTGAAGTCTTTTTTTGTTGGCATTGTGTACGAAGTTCCGAAGGCCAAAAATGAAGTGGGCAACCATCCCATTAAGTTACGAGTCAAATTTAACTGCTGATCTCCTTGAAGCCAAACCTTTGGATATTGCAGCCTCGTTTTCCCATGTTGTTCAACATGTCGCGCGTTTGGAAATCTTGGCGAGGATGGACAATCTTTTGTGTTTTCTATATGTTCTTCTGATTTTCACACATACAACTTTCAAAGACTAAAATATTGTTTTTAAAGAACCCTCCATGACTTTGATTTTTTCTGAGAGGTTCTGATTGGAAAGATGATCAAGGTGTTTTTCATTATGCCCGGAAGAGTAGCTATCAGTCCTTGAGAACGTCTACCGCTTACATAACAGCTTTTTCAAAGGAAAAGGCTAGAACATTTCACATGTTTCCTTTTCATTGATGTTATTATTTATTTTAATGTTGTGTTTCAAAATTTTCCAGGTATTTTCTCAGTAGAGCTTCTTTGTTCTGTATGTAAACAGCGCCGTCCTGACGAACAATGAACGCAACAGGGCGGGAAAGGAAAGAAGACGGCAAACTCTTCTTTCGGCTGCCGTCTTGTTGCGTAAACTAGGGAACTTAAGATAGAGACGTTTTCGGGGCGACAGCAACTTCAACCGCACTGACGTTATGATTTGTGCGATATTGCGCATGCTCTTGTTCAACGCCTTGCCGTCGCAGTCGCGTCGGCAACGTGAAACTGGTCTGTTTGGCATTGTGGCGAAATCGTGAGTATTTAACTTTCATTTCACTCAGGTTTGTTGCATTTAGCAACTAGAATTTTGCAGATTATCGTTCTTAAATTGTCTTTTTGGTTTCTTTGAGTCACATTTTAAGCTCGATTTCCAAGCTCTGTTATCTAAACATACATCTTTATAATGTTTCTATGTTTCATGTCAAGATCCATGCAACATGACAAACAGCAAACCGTGAAGGCGTAAGTAAGCTTTACATGGATAAATTGTCCTACGAGCCAAATGAAAGAATCGAGACAAAAAATATACACTCCGATATTTAAATTGGGTGTTTTTAGCTCACTTTCTTCGTTAGAGAATCGTATAAATGAAACGTATTTGAAATTATTTAGAACAGTAGGTAATACCATGTTACCAAATTGGGAATACTGAAGTAAAGTTGTTGTGGTTGTTCTTGTTGCATGCAAGTATTTACCACAAAACGAGAAATCCTTCATCCGATAACATGTTGTCTGCATAGCAAATAACCATTAATTCCCTTAATTTTTTATGTGAAGCCATATTTCCCTCTTCGATCGGTAGTCTTCTATGGCGCCGTCCTTCTGAGTTCAATGCGATCGTAATAATCGAATTTTGGCGGGAAGCGACGGCTGCCTCAGTTCCAGGCTTTCTTTGTATTCTGGTCGCCGTCGTCCAGAAAACTTCTCTATCTTACGTTCCATACTCTCTAACGTCGACATCTACAGCACCGCTCTGTTTGGGCTCTATCGGTGTCGTGTTGTTGTTTTGCAAAGATCATTGTCTTGTAGACTATAGCACGATTAGCATTGTAGAATTCAATTTGTCTTTAAATTGTTGCTCTTTCGAACTGTTTCAAGATGACTTTAAACTGAAGTTACCAAATTCTACACAATGTCGTTTTTTCTTTGTTGAGTTTCTTTTTTACCCACCATCAAACCCAGTCCATAAGTAAACATTTCTTGGTAATCGTGCGCGCTCGGTATTCAGTGAGCCAGTTTACGTTAGGATTTCTGAGGTAAAATTCCTCTACATCTCCTTTTTCACCCATTTCAACCAGCAATTAACGATATTGCGACAAGTACACGTGCCTGACTCAAAAAATCCCAACATACGCATGATATAACGACGCCTAAGTGCACGCTACGATAGCGTCTTGTTCAGTATTACTCTCTTGTTACTTTTAGTTTTAAGTTGTTTGTACCCAGCTTCAATGTAAATCAGCGATCCGTTAATTCATTCATTTAATTGATAACACAGAACACATAGGTGACACTGTGAAAGATGGAAGACATACATTACCGGTAAAACAGCCATACAGTTCAACTCTCATTGATATGTGAGTGTGCCATTCCGTCGGCTGAAAACGTATGATACTAGCCGTAATTGGTTTTGTTAGGTTATGACGAACAACGGTGTCACTGTCTCTGTTTCCATCAAATTCCTGAAAATTAAGCGATATGGTTAGGTAGGCAAGTGTTTTGAGTTAAAACATTTTAGCCTACCTCCCCTCGTTCCTCCAAACATGAGTCTTGGCAACTTGTTTTCTTAACTTTAAAATCCACTCGAGAACAGTGAGTTAGGTGGAGTAGCTTGCTGAAAGTGATCGTGCTCAGTTTCATTTCTGTCATGCAGTATTGACTCCATAAACTTTTCTCTGGCTGTTCATTAGGCTCACTGGGACGAGTAATGCGTGGGCACGTCTCTTTGTCTGATTTACATAGATTTAGAATAACGTTTACGGCAAATGACAAACGGCAGACTCAAGTTGAGAATTTCTCAAAATAGAAAATAGGCAGATAAAAATAGCCTAAAACAACTCTTGTGGATGAAAATATCGTGAAACTAGTAATATTTTGTAGAAGTAAAAAAACAGTTAAAGACAAGTAAAGGGAAAACTTGGTTACATGGTACAAATTCACGTTTGCCGTTTTAAGACGTGTCTCTAAATCTCTCTATTGTATGTAGAGAGATCGAATTTCTCTTGCAGAAAGGGAATTTTAGCACCATTTTGTGTTCGATTTGTACGTCATTCAGCAAGGGACAAAATGGCCCAGATTTCAATTTATCCCAATCAATTGACACGTGTCTCTGTGAACATGTGTTTCTATTTTCGTCAAGTGATAAAATCGACCAAATTTGCCCAAGTTCTATTTCTTATTCTTTGGGGAATCTGGTGTTTTAACCGAGAAGAGGACTCATCTTAACTAGTAGTAGCAAGGCTATACAAGACAACACCCAGCTTTTGGGGCTGATGCATGGACACAATTTTTAGCAGAAGATTTTAATTTATTTTAGGGAAGTAGGAAATGGTATTGACGAGTATTTTTGCACGGATTACTATTTTTATTAAGCTTCTGATTGACGGATGTACAAAGTACTGTACGATCTGCTAACATACGCTTTTCTGCATATATAGAAAATACCCTAGCCTAGTTTCTGTTTCCTACATCGTATTCTAGCCGCAGACTGAGATAAAATCATGAACCCGAATTATCTCATCAGAATGATATCAGCAATGTACTACCTTGCTTTGGTCTTCGTCTTCTTCTTTGTATTCATGTAATTCCATTGAGGTTGATAGTTTACTATACTGTAGCTTGTATTTGATAACCCACCAGTCATAGTTATCTCTCCCTTGTGTTGCCACACCAGTCACTGTGGTGTTTGGATTGCCTAGATCAACCTGAAGCCACTGATCCTTATCGTCTCTAGCAGATGCCCAAGAACCTCTTATATCTCCATCATTTTTCAAGTGCAGTCTCCCTTGAAAGGCGCGATATGAGACAGTCCTTTCTGAAGAAGCACTTATTCTTGCATCAGAGATAGTATGGTTTTCCATTCCCAGCGCATCTTGGCATTCTAACAAAAGCAAGTCGCGTTATGCAGTCCTGTCACTCTTTTATGTGAAGTTAATGGCGGCAAGTGTTATTGAATCTACTACTTTATCAAATATTCAAACATCAACAATGCTCTGTTGTTCAGAGTCATTTTGTTTATTTCCCGAAAAATGAACGAAAAACATTTCCTCTTGACAGAATACAGTCTTTGAATTCCAGCCTTAATTTTTAATTATAATAAGCTCCTAATATCAAATAAACATGCAACTTCATTATCTTTTCTTTAAACGTTGATTTCCACTTTTACGTTCCGGCTCATTATCATGTTCTAATGTTCAATAGAACATTAGAGCACTGATTCAAAAAAAGGCCTGACCGACCGTAATTTTTCACTAAAAGGATCTATATTCTGACCCCTTAATCAAAGGAGATGCACTGAGGTAGAACTTTAACTTTCTTGTGGTTGCCAATACGTGAACATTCTTACTAATGGTAGTCATAAAGTTTTCTTACAAACTATAGCAAACTATAGTCATAAAGTTATCCCATATTGGTTTGCCTTGTGTGTCTCTGGTTGGAGCGTTGGAAAGGGGGGTGGGGGGGGGAAGTCATTTCTCTGCAAATATAATATGTGAAAAATGATTGCTGTTTTACTGACCTTTGCACCGCCAAGGTTTACCATGACGAGCAAATCCATGAATGCACTCACAGCGAAATGATCCAGGTGTATTGATGCATTCCAAATTTGATTTATGCGTACACCATTGCAGTTCATTGGACTGACATTCATCAATATCTGGTGAGAAATAGAGGAAAGCCTTATCGATCGAGAACGGTTAAATATAATCATACAAGGTACTAATATTATAGCAAAACTAGTGCAGTTTGACTTTAAATCAACAAGCTTACCAATACATGCAGCTCCATCTTTTACAAACCCATTTTTGCAGTCGCAACGGAATGAACCAGGCTCATTCGCACATTCTGAGTTTTGCGGACAACGGTGTGGCCTCTGGGCAGGGCAGCTTTTTGTTTCCGTATTAGCTAAAGATTAAATGAATAGTATTAAAAACGAGATGATTGGGGCTGCGAGAAAAGGGAAAAACAGCATTGTATTAGGTTGCTGATACTTTTTTCCCGCCAATTATAGGAAACAATAGTTGTTCAGCGGTAAAGACTGCAAATGCCACACGTGCCTCCTAGATTACAACTCCGTGTAAATTAGTAGACATTTGGGCATTTATATACAGTTTGCACTTTTCTGCATCACATTTGCCGTGAACAAATTTCTATCTGCAAATGCACGTTTTCTGGCATTCCGTGGGCCGCCCGCACCAATGCATAACTAATTTTTCACTCTCATTTGTATCACACTCTGATTCTTCTGTCGAACACTCTTTTGGTCATCGAGCGTTGCCTTTGTAGATTTCTTATAACTAGTAATAGTTGACACTACAGCTGCTCCCGCTCGGTCAATAGCATTCTTGGTCGTTGTGTAGCTCTTTGAAATATACCGATTCATAACTAGAAATACGTATCTCGCAATAACCCTCGCGAAACTCGGTTTGGCAACGGCACTCAAGTATAGCCCTGTCGGTCGGGGTTAAGAACTGGATGGGTGACCAACCGCGAATATCGTCTTAATGGTCCATGCGTTCTTCTCTCTTTTCTTCTTCTTCTTTTTGTTAACAGTGTATTGATTTAGCATTATTTCGGCGTCCGGGTTTAGGAAAAGACAGAAACAAAGAACAAATATGGCCCGGTGCAGTTCGCCTGAAAATTATTATTCTTCGGGTCGTAATACAGAGCTGAAACTTTGCAGACTTTGATCTACATATATCGGTGGGGATGGGTTTTCGACAGCGAACGATCATAATGCCTCTGATTCCAATCTCCTGTTCATCTGTCTCTTCTTGTCGGCGTTGCCTTCGCTGTGCTAAGCGATGTTCCTTCTGCTCCGCGGTTTCTTGTTGACGTCTTCTCCTTCGTTGTTCACGCTGAATTTGAAGTCGGCGTTCTCGCTCCAGAGGAGTTTAGGTGGAAAATCTTCCTGGTCGAGGACTTGGATCCACTTGTTGTGCTTGTGTGTCATTTGCATGGGAAATTGTTCGTGAGTCCCCGATGGTAAACTTTCATCGGCGGCGAAGTCTATGTTGCCTGGAAACGCAAAATGCTCCATGGCGTCATTGGCGGACACCAAGCATATATTCAGAGAAAGAAAGATTTATTTATGAAGGCTCGAATTTCGCAGCTGACTAAGACCACGCGCGGTTAGCAGACTGCGTGCGCGCTTCGCGCGCGACAAGATTATAAAGTCGCTACGCCCGGAATAAAGATTTTCACGCATATTCCATACAACAGGGTAGATAAATACAGGAAACGCAAGGTTATATGTACAGTTTCAGTTCGATTTACACAGCTTTGATCAACACATTCTTAGTTTCGAGAATAGTCTATGCTAAACCATAAGAAAAGATTTAATTTAGAAGTTGAATTTTTCGCTATTTCTCTTTCACTTTTTCATACAGTTCATTTTATTTGCCGGAAAGTAAGCCTTAGAAATTAAAAGGATCTTTGATCAATTCACGCTCGCGCATTCTAGTCTTATTTTAAACTTTATAGCGGAAGGACATCTGTGAGCAGGGAATAAGTCAGCACAGAATTTGATTGTCGGCGAATTTCTGTAATCGTCCATCGTTCTTCTAATGATAAGCTAGCCGTTGATTCACTCGTCTTTCTTGTTTGGGGTTGAGCTCCAGTCAAAGAGAGAGAAAGAGTGTCTTTCCAACCAAAGATTTGTAAACTCGTGACTGGCAAACTCTCCAAGAGTTTATATATAGAGAGGATATTACACGGTGGCGCGAAGATATGAATTTTATTTTCGAGTGGCAAAACAATATTTTACGAACGAGCGCAGCGAGTAAGTAAAATATTGACATCGATAAAATAATAGATTTTTATTCGCCAAAAAGTAATTGCGACAGCTCAAATTTACAGTACTTAAGCAATAGAACACATCTTTTACAATAATCTAGAGAAATAACACTGAGCTGAATAGGGCTCTACGATGACAAAATATAAGCAAAGCTTTGAAATTATGGTTAAATCATAACAGTAATAATTTACCGAATCTTAGTCATAAGGCGGCAAAAACGTTTTCAATAGATGTGTACGAAATATGAAAAAAAGCATGAAAAAAGGCCAAAGAACGGTTTATTGGCTTTCATCGCTACTATCCATAACAATTCTCCGTCTTTTAAACTGATGTATTTTCTCAAAATCGCTGCCTTTTGGATTCTGCGAATTTGTGAAAATGTTCACTGTTCCTATCTGGCACTGGTAAAGAAAGGGCAAAGTTCCTGCACTTGTGCTGAGTTGAACTGTAGATACCGATGTAATTTCATCTACTGTTACTTTTGGCGAAGACGAAGTAGCAACAGAAGTAGAAGACTCCCTTCTCCTGGATAATACTGTAGAGATGTGCTGCTGTCTTCTGTCAGATATAGCGGAGTAGCTATTTAGTGAATTGACGTTTTTGTGTCCAGTTATTTGCACAAATTCGTTCGGTTCCACAAGTTTCTGGACTAGATGCTTTCTTGTGCTGTGGTTGACCAATTCTTGTCTGAATGAACTTGGGAGCCCGCTAACATGTTTTTCACCATAGATCTAAGTGAATTTACTCCCAGTGGAGCTGCCTTGAACCATTTCTTCCCTGCCTTCGGAACTTCTGTGTTGACAGCAAGATAAAACGGACAGTCGTCTGCCATCATTTCTTGTGGTCTATGTTGCTTATAGGCCAGATAGGCTGTGACAGGACAGCGATCATTATTGTCAAGGTTTTCGAACGTCTTTGGCTTGCTTTCTCTGACAATTCTTGTGTTTTCACCAGTTCTCGTTTTTGTTTGGCGCTCGGTGCCGAAAACTTTACATAACGAAGCCCGTCAGCATTAGTTTTCAGCTCCAAATCTCCCCAGCAGCGATCTCGTTGCTCTTTTCTAGGCGTCATGCCGAAATAGATACAATTGTTCGTCCAAACTGTATTCAGAAGTGCTCGAGGTGTTTTATTTCCGAGCACTCCTGCTCGGTAGAATTCCTCTATTTCTTCATCTGTTAGTGCATCGGCACTATTGGGCTTGTTTCCCTTTCCTATATGGCCTTAAGTTGTTTCTGCTTCTTTTTCAGGATATCTTGAGCCTCACAGAATTCTTTGTCGTTCAAAAGGGAAAATGTGCATCCCTTTTTACGGAGGTAGCGGTCAACACTTTGCAAAAACCCTCTTAGAGAAGACGGTTCATATTCCTCGCCATTTTTCTTTCTTACTCCGAGTACAAACTTCTTTGTCAACTGTTGGAGCTCGGCGGCTGGAATATTTTCTATGTTTCTCTCTTCTTCCTCGCTGTTAAGAAACTCAGATCAGATCAGATCAGACACAGTTTTCTTCTTCTTGGTCTTCGGTAAACGACGCAATTTCCTCTTCTTCCTAAACTTGACGAATCTTTTGCTCGCCATTTTCATTCAGGGGGATGTTTGGCAGCGTTTGCAAGACGCCTACAAATTTCGGAGGGAAATTACCGAAATTACGTCATCGATAAACTCACGTGTGAGATTATGGAAAACAAACCACTCGGGTCCCAAATGTACTTTTTATGAATTTTACGAGTGGTATATTTTCCAGTAAAACACTCGTGTCTATATAATAACACAGTTACACGCACCTTCTAACGTCATCTGTGCTTAACCAGTGTCTTTTGGCCCATAACTTTCAAAACAACTACAGAATGTCACTGATAACACATAACGCAAAAGAGTATCGAAGTATGACTGTACAATAAATGTCACAAAATCTACCTAATGCCGTGTTTAGACTTGAGCGTGCTACCGAGGTATTGGAGTTAACTTACCTAGGTAAATATTTTGCGTGTGTAAACGCCAACTGATACCCTGGTAAACACCGCTCAAGACAATAGAAAGTTAACCAAGGTAAAAGTTCGGTTTACCGTGCGAGCAGGCATGGTTAAGGTCGGTAACCAAGGTTTGGATGACA